ACCAACCTTTTGAATACTTTTGTTAAGATTCGAAAATGATCTTCTATACTGTCGGTCGCTATCATTATATCGTCTAAATATATTATTACCTCATCATTTTTAATCATGTCTTGAAAAACTTTGTGGACATATCTTTGAAAAACTGACGGGGCGTTTTTTAAACCAAACGGCATTCGTAAAAATTCAAACTGCCCTAATGGCGTTATAAACGATGTATATTTTACAGATTCATCGTGCATGAAAACATGAAAAAACCCATTTTTCAAATCCAATTTGGTAAATATATGTTTATCTTCCAACCTATCTATCAAGTCGTCGATCAGTGGAATAGGATAGTTATCCTTTAGTGTAACCTTGTTTAATGTTCTATAGTCTACACACATTCTTATATCCCCGGTCTCTTTTTTTAACTAAAACTATTGGAGAAACAAATTCGGATTCACTTGGCCTAATATACTTTTTGCTTATATACTCATCGATCAGTTCTTGGAGTTTATTCTTTTCTGTAAATGCTAATCGTCTTGGAGGGCAATGGAACGGTTTAATTTCGCTAAAATTTAATTTCATTTCGCACTTTATAACAGGTGTTTCAGGTCTGTTGGGCTTTATATAACAATTTGTAATTAGGCTTTCAAATCGCTTAATGTTTTCTATACCGACTCTGTCATCAACATTGTATTCTGGCTCTTGGCAGTCATTAGTTAAATCAATTTTAAAAATATCATTTTCAATTTCGATATCTATCAATTTACCACCTAAACAATTATTTTTGCATCTTAGTTCAATATTGCTTGCACTTAGAAAATCTCGGCCTAACACAACATTGTAATTCATGGTACCATCAGCCACGATAAGTAGTTTGAATTGCACGTGTTCACCATTTAAAATGACGAAACAATCAACTTTCCCAAGGACGTTTAATTTGCTTTTATTTATTCCAATATAGTTTTCATTACTATTATTTTCGACTTCAAATGTAATTTCAGAGGGCAGAAAAGAGCGCTTCAAAAAACTTATCGGGCTGCCAGTATCCATTGCATGCTGAAGAAAATGATATTTTAGGACGGTTTAATATGTAAATTTTAAAGTATCTTACGTCTTCATTTAGACTCTTATTACTTTTGGACCGTTCCTTCCTGTTGGGGCACTCAACGACCTTGTGTAGCACACTGCCACAACCATAGCATGCACCGTAGTCACGTTTGGGTTTTCGGCATTCTGCGGCCATGTGGCCACGAGAGTTGCAATTGTAGCAGCGCACTTGGTTGTTTTCTTCTCGATCAGTGGCGCGCTCTGTTGGGTAGCCAAAAATGCTTCCAGAAGTTGGCGCAAGAGGGCGCTGTACGGTACGCACTGCCTGACGTATTGGTGATCTGCTTGTTTGGCGAACTGCTTGCTTTGACGTTGTGGGTCGAAAAGTAGTGTGCTGTGGTTGGCGTTCTTCAATGCGTTCACTCACCCACTGAGTTGGACGCGCTGCATCTTGAGTTGCCGATCGTTTGGGTAGGCTTGCACCACTAAAAGTACGCATCAGTTGGGTCGTGGTCGTGATTCCTTGGAGATCTGCTTGCATCCGCAGTTGTTCACTTGGTATACCAGCAATGACGTGCTCGACCATTTCATCTTCATCGATATGGAAGCCTTTGGAAAGTGAGACTTTGCTGCTAAAGTAGCTGTTAAAACTCTCGGCAGGTAGCCACTCCCGTTGCTCGAACTTGCGGCGCAAAGCACTTTTGCTTTCTTTAACTCCAAACGTGTCTCTTATATTTTGAAGAAGTTGGTCCACCGAAACACTAGTGTTGTCACCAGCATGTAACCATTCGTATGCTCTTCCCTTTAACTTGCAGAGTATGACTGCACGTAGCAGTCCATCGTTGAGCCTAAAAATGTTTGCGACATTTCTGACCTGCTTAATCCAAGCATCTGGTGCGTCGTTCCCATCATACTCTTTCACTGCATCGGCAAGTACGTTGAACATAAGACAATTTGATATTGAGTCATCGGTTTTTTCACGTTGTTGCTTTTTCAATGCTTCGTTTTCCTTTTCTAGAAGGTCAATTTTTTTGTACAGCGCTGCAACGGTTGTTATGTTGTCAGCTTGGCCGTTAGCGTCTGTCGTGGAATGTTCGCGATCATTATTGTTGTTTCTTTCGAACTGTACGTTCTGTGGCACACACACACCAACGTCGGTGGCATCATCGCTATCTCGTTCGCACTCGTTTGGGTTTTCGCGCGAATCGTTTACTGTTGGCGCCGATTCGGCGGCATTCCTTCGTAGCTGGCGCAGCGGCGTTCGACTCGTGTTTTCGCTATCGCACTGCATCTGGATCAACTTGGACACTTGAATGTAGGTCTGGGCACGATCCCCGCAGTTGCGACGAAACTTCATTTATGCGAAGTGCTAACTCCGCCTTTGTGCCGCTAGTTTTAAGTTTAAGAGCGCGAGCCCAATTACGCGATTGTTCATCACTGTAGTCGCTTATTGAAATATCATTCATAATGATTTAGACTTTCCTCAATTTGCTTTAAATAAATTTGCACACTTTGGACAGAAATTTTATAGGTTTTAATGAGTTGTATCCCACTTCTGAAATTGTGGTGGGGTTTGCACCACAAGTAAAACACGTCCGCTCTGTTTGCCAATCTGTTTAATACTGTCCTTTGGTATTCACAATCACTCGATATCATATAACATTCGATATCACACATGCTTACATGCCTATACTCATACTTATACTACTACAGCGTTAAAGTCACCTCCAGCAATAAACCATCATGGCTTCCAGACGGTCCATTCTGCAGTTTATTGCATTCGGGGCAGAGGGAGTGGTATCAGACTGATGCGGGGGTTGTTGGGATCCACGTAGCGTACTGACGAAACTAATGCCAGGAACAACTGTGGAAGTCACGCGGCTTGAGGTCGGTAACAAGGGCCTTGGTTTCGGTGAATGGAGCTGCTTGGCCTTCTGAAACACCTTACAGCCTTTATAGGAGGCTGCATGATTGCCCTTACAGTGGGCGCAACAGGCGGGAATCTCTTTGGATTTGGTGCACTCGATAGAGCTGTGGTCTTCGCCGCACTTAACGCATTTAGGTGGAAGCCGGCAGTATTTTTGAGAGTGCCCGAAGCCTTGGCATCGATAGCACTGCATGATATCCTTGGATTTCAGTGGTGGTTCAATCGTGACAACACACCTACATAGCCGTTTTATACCAAAGGCGTCCTTGTTGTTGCTGGCGGGTTCCAAGTTCACGAAGAACATAGACATAGATGCTACGGCTGACAGCGTTTTTGATCTCACGGCCTCGAACCGTGTGTCCATGTTCTGCTAAGGCTTCCTTAATGTCATCTATGTCAGTGGAGTGATGCAGCCCTTTGACAACTATCCTATAGGCACGCTCATCCTTAGCCTGGAAAGTCTGGTAACTGATGTCGTTCGTATTGAGGTAGCTTTTAAGCTTTGAGAAGCTCTCCTTATCAACAAGATTGACCCTGACGCGACCGTCTCTGCCAGCCTTATAGTCAAAGTTCACTTTTCCAATGGCCAGATCAACGTCCGTTATGAATTCCTTGATGTCGCCGACATCAGGAATGAAAATCGGTGGTGGCTTGATTATCCTCTCTGGGGCAGTAGGGGCGTCCTGAAACTTATCGGATTCGTCGTCTTTTTCTCCTTCTCCATTGCTTCCATCGGAGAGCGCAGCGAATCTGTTAGCATTATTGAATTTGCTATTAGTGGCTTTGCGTTTTATCTCCCTTGGCTCCATGCCGGACGAGCTTGCTCTACCATCGCTCGAGCTATCTAGCTGTGCCTTAGGAGACACATTTGACACCTTTGCCTGCTTCGCTGATGGGACTCCACTAGGATTGAGGTTTCCTTTTGGTAGAAGCTTCGGTGGCGTTAGCTGCCACTTTGGTTTATGTGGGGCTGGTGGGACCGCTATGGCGACAACAACAACGAACTATTGCAGTTATGAGCGAGTGAAAACTTGAACTAGGTATCTGGATTTTTTGAAGACGCACTAGACGCGTTTATATTAAGAAATGAAATATAAAATATTTTTACGGAGCGCACAATAAAAACACGACTTCTCACTTTGACGTTTATCTCAGTGATGAAAAAAAAGATCGGTGCGAAAATGAGGTTCGAACAAAGAGCCAACATTAAATTTTGTTTTAAAATTGGTAAAACTTTTTCGAAACGTTTCAATTGATGGAACAAGTTTATGGCGATGATTGCCTATCCCGTAGCAGAGTGCACGAGTGGTTTCAACGTTTTCAAAGTGGTCGTGAGGACATAAATGACGATCAACATGTGGGCCAATATAAATTCGTGATCACCGAAAATTCCATCGAAACTGTTCGTGAATTCATCAAAAATCAGCCGAAATCATCATTGAAATTGATGGAAATGGAATTGAACATCTCCAAAACATCGATTTATCGCATTTTGACCGAACATTTGGGCTTACGAAAGGTATGTGCACGGTTTGTTCCGCACAAATTGACTGACGACCAAAAATTGCTCAGACGATCGACGCTTGTGACCGATTATTTTTACCAAAAATCACATTTTAACCATTAACCACTCGCCGTATTCAAAAAATCGGCCCATCAGAATGAAACCTATTATGTGGAGTCATCATCACTAATTGGAATTATTTGCCAATTTGTTCGTGAAAAATTCTATGAATTACGGGAGTTTTAGAAAATTTGTAATTGCGTTGCAAAGGGGGAAGGGAGGGAAATTCCAAAATACACTCTTTCTGCGTATTCATAAAAGGCATCTTGGACTGAAAATTTTGTGTCTTCAGCACTTATAGTCTCCGAGATATAGGTGATTATACGAACAGCGTTTCCGAAAATTCTCCAAAGGGGGGAAGTGGGGTTAAAATCAAAAACGATGAAGCTCTAAAGCAAAGCAATACACCTAAACAAAGACTTGATCATGCATTATAGATTATAGTGTTATAACTATATCGCCAAAATAATTTCTTACCTAATTATCGTAGGCTCTGAAACTATTAAACGGGCGAAGTCCATCACTTCCTTATCGTAAGTGGCAGAGAAGAATAGCATTTGACATTGTTGATTCAACATTCTGTAAAAATAGAAGTAGAAATCAATATAGTATGTACATACTCTAGTAGTCCAATACTCAGAAAAAACAATTATTCATTGAATGACTCTTTAAGATAACAAAGGACTTAATATGTCTACAACAAAATCAATAGTCCTCTATGGTCTTGGCAGTACTATCTAATTTTCTTTCAAAATCATTATTTACTTATTTTTCTTTTAGCTATCAGTAGATACCATTCAAATCATATACACTTCGCTCCACTTAATTAGGTACCTGAAAATTCACTCTTTTGGTGGCCCAAAGCATTATTCGACGTAATATGAATTTATACCCTGTACCCAAAGGGTAAAAGCGTATACACCTAATTCAGTTATTAGGTATTTTTACGCGGTTTTGATTTAATACGGTTTGAAAATTAAACTTTTATACACCTAATTTTGTTTTTACAAGGTAGATTGGTTCCTTAAAAAGGCATGTAAAAATAAAACCGTGTAAAATAGACATTGATCATATGCAAAACGAATCGTGCTAAATGGAATAAAGTCGTGAAACCATATATACCTAATTTTTTTTTACACGGTATTTTTTACACGACTTTGATATAACACGGTTTGAAACAAGTAAAAAAGCTAAAGTCGGGTGTCCCGACTTTGAAATACTCTTTACATATGTTTACAATAATAATAGAATAAAAAAATATTAAGAAAATTAAAAAAAAAAATTTGATCTCTCGGTATTCGAACTTACGTAAAGGGTGTATAATTGCACATATACCAAGCAATTGCGTCTATGTGAGTGTATGAATGCCTATGCGCAGTCAACCAAACAGCAACATCAACAACAGCTGCGGGCAGCGCTTGAGCATCGAATATATTTATGACTATAACTTCTTGTTAAATCGGTCTACCAAAGTGAAACTTGGCATACGGACACATAATAACTAACTGGGGGTATTTGCAAAATGAGTTCGAAATTCCAAGAATTACGGGAGTTGAGACTTGCGGTCGAATGGGGGGAGGGAGGGAAATTCCAAAATACACATTTTCTGCGTATTCACATAAGGCATCTTGGAATAAAATTTGGGGTTCCTAGGTCTTATAGTCTTCGAGATATAGGCGACTATAAGAATGAAAAATCGGGAAAACCCCCATAGGGGGAAGTGGGGGGAAAATCAAAAATATAAAACAAACTCGTATAGAATACACACATAAGGCATCTTTGTGCAAAATTTGGTGTCTTTATCTCTTATAGTCTCTGAGATCCAGTGGTTCATACGGACGGACGGACATACAGACAGACAGGGCTAGATCGACTCGTCTCGTCATGCTGATCAAGAATATATATACTTTGTGGGGTCTGCCACGCCTCCTTCTACGTGTTACATTTTTCAGCTCCCGCAAACCTAATATACTCCTGTACATTTCATGTACAGAGTATAAAAAGAGTGTGTTCACAAGGAGAACGATGGTCTAGAAATGAAATGGTTGGAAAGTGAAAGTTTACAAAACTGAGAGCTGAATGGCATGAGAATGGAGGGCAGGTTTATAAATTTAGGTGAAATTAATGATAATTTAGAAAAACAGAATATAAACAAGATAGAACGCTACAGTCGAGCAAGCCCGACAGTAAAATAGCCTGTACTCTCCACCAAAAAAACCAAAATAAAAAAATTTTTTTTAAATTTAATTATTAAAAAAAATTGAATTAATTTAAATTAATTAAGAAAATGTATTTAATATATACATAGAAGACGTATCAGAAAAAAAACACAAACTCGATCTGCCTAGGGCTTAGGGGAACCTGAATGTCAGGTTTGGTTATCCTAGCTATTATAGTTGCTGAGATCGTTGCGCTCATACAGACAGACGGACGGACGAACAGACGGACATGGCTATATCGACTAGTCTTGTCATCCTGATCAAGAATATATATACATGGGGTCTGGCACGCCTTCTTCTGTGTGTTACATACATTCGCACAAAACTAGTCTTTCACCCTTTGGGTACAGGCTATAAAAAAAGGGGTAGAAATGGAAAGCTTTGACAAGGATTGTACGGAAAATGAAGACACACACAGTATGTACAAAACAAACGGGAAAGCGACAAATTGTAATGTAAATAGAGTACCTTGGAAGATACAGGAAAGCGATCAGTGCAGTAATGAAAATAGCAACAAAGTTGCAGGAAAAACAAAAGAGGATAACTTTAATTTATTACTAGGGCAATACCCGTGTTTAGATGAAGACGATAATTTGATAGAGAGGACGCAATGCTGTCATAAACTTAAGGGAAAACTGGAAGTCATGTTTAAGAAATTATATAAAAATGCAGAAAGGCCAATGTTACCAAATGTGAAATGAAACTTAACTTTGAAAGAGAGAAACCATTCCATTTTCCCCCAGGCGGTTGTCGTGGTTGCGAATGCCGTTTCAAAGGTTTGTAAAAAAAGTGTTTGCAGATTTAATCAGGACAGATAAAGTCATAGTTTACATGGATGATATAATGATAGCGACAAGTGGTAGCGATAGCCATATGGAGGTACTAGAGGAGGTATTTAGAAGGCTGGTAGCAAACAAATTAAGTCTCCGATTAGACAAATGTGAATTTTTGCTGACGGAAGTAGAATACTTAGGATATACGATATCAGAAGAGGGAATAAAGCCAGACGACAAAGGGGTAAAGGCGGTAAAAGATTTTCCTGTACCAATGATGTGCAGAGCTTTTTAGGATTATGTTCGTTTTTCAGGAAATCTGTAAAAGATTTTTCCACAAAAGCTGGCAGAGGCACCAATATTAGCCCTGTACAGACCAGGTGATCAAAACAGAGTTACATTGCGATGCAAGTGCCTTAGGTTTCGGGTCAATACTAATGCAGAAGAAAAGTGACGGACGAATGCACCCGGTGTTTTATTTTTCGAAGCGGACAACAAAAGCGGAAGCGAAGTATCATAGTTTCGAGCTAGAAACACTGGCAATAATATATGCACTTCAACGTTTTAGAATTTACTTGCAGGGTATATATTTCAAAATAGTAATTGATTATAATGCTTTAACCAATGACTTTAAACAAGAAGGACCTGAATCCAAGAATAGCTAGGTGGGCACTTGAATTAGAAAATTATGAGTACAAGTTAGAGCACAGGGCGGGAAAAAGGATTCAGCACGTTGACGCATTGAGTAGAAACGCAAATATTTTAACAATTGACGCAAGCACATTTGAAAAGAATTTGATTTGTCAAAATAGGGACGAGAAGTTGAAAAAACCATATTATTTTATGTTCCGGAAGAAATGGAAAATCATGTTTTTTATAAATATCACAATGAGCTTGGCCATGTAGGGATTGATAAAATGACAGATGCGATCACAAAGTTACTGGTTTCCGAACATGAGAACAAAAGCAAATGTTCACGTACAAAATTGCCATAAGTGCATCGCGTTTTCGGGCATGAAAAAAGGATTCCTACATAATATTCCGAAACAGTCAGTGCCTTTTGAAGTAATGCATATTGACCACTTTGGACCAGTCTATAAAGGGAGAGCAAATAAGTACATTCTAGTAATAAAAGACGCTTTCACGAAGTTCGTTAGACTTTATGCCACAAAAACGACGAGTACTAAAGAAGTTGTTCAATCACTGCAGGATTATTTCAGAATGCCAAGCTGTATAGTCTCCGATCGGGGTAGCGCCTTTACGTCAAATGATTTTGAAAACTTCTTTGAGCAGAACGGCGTTAAACACGTGAAGGTAGCTACAGGTTCACCACAGGCAAATGGACAAGTTGAGAGAGTTAACAGAGGGTTGGGACCGATGATTGCCAAGTTGGTGAATCCTGATAAAAACGTACATTGGGACACAGTCGTACAAACAGTTCAGTTTACACTCAACAACACTATTCAAAGACGATTAATCAACACCCGAGCAGAATGCTGTTTGGCGTTTTAAAGAAGGGGGACGTATCAGACGTGTTGAAGGATAAGTTAGAGGAGTTGACCAAAAAGAGAATTAGAGAAAACTCGAGAAGAGGAGAGAAGAGAATAATGCTATTAATATTATACAAAAATAAATAATTAAATTAAAATACAAATTTGAAAACGTTTAAGTTAAATAATGGGTGCAGGAGCATCCTGGTCAGAATGGCCGAGTTGTAGTATTAAGTATATAAATAGTATAAGTGACATTGATGTTTTAGTATTAAGTTTTAGCGAAATGTCTAGCATATTTAATGTCAAAGCGCTGGTATGATCGATATATGATTGTAAGGTCACACTGAAAGAAAGAGCGGGAGAATAAAATAAGATTGCAAACGAAAAACAACGCGCCTTTAATAATTGTCTCGGCCACATACGGGAGTTAGAGTAGGGCGGCCAACTTTTTCAAAAGCCAATGCGGGACAATTTAAGGTGGTGTTATTTTCGATGAGTCATATGTACAGTTACATATGTATGTAAATATTAAACTCTTAAAATAATTATTCAATTTGTTTATGTTTCTTTATTTTTAAAATCATATTTTTCACACGAGTGATACTTTTTCACCAGTACTGGATTTTTTTACTGTAAGGTAAAAACTATATATTAGGTTTGCGCAAAGGAAGCATCTCCGACCCCATATGGTGTATATATTCTTAATCAGCACGACGAGAGAAATCGATCAAAGTATGTCCGTCCGTCTGGAAACGGTTGAGCGTACATTAACCAAATCTCTATATATATAAAACAGTTTGTCCTGACTGACTGACTGACTGATTGACTGACTGATTGGCAATCAACGCACAGCCCAAACGATAAGAGCTAGGAAGCTGAAATTTGGACAAAAGATCCCTCTTATAGTGAAAGTGAGCACTAAGAAGGGGTTTCGGAAAATTCGAGCTCCAAAGGGGGGAAAACGAGCTCCATCGTTTGTATGAAAAATCTACAATTTTTATCCGATTAACTTCAAACTTAGTTTGTATACTCTCAAAAAGAATACAAGAAAACCTGCATACTTGGTTTTTCAACATTTTTCCTGGGGCATGAAAAAGGGGGGGTTTTCCGTGGAAAAAATGAAACACAATCAACACCCCACAGCCCAAACGGTAAAAGCTAGGAAACTGAAATTTGGGCTCAAGTATCCTATCATGGTGTAGATGCGACTTAGAAGGGTTTTTGGAAATTCGAGCTCCAAAGTTTGTTTAAAAATTCTGCATTTCTGAATCGATCAACTTTAAATTTGGTTTTTATAATCTATAAAAGAATACAAACAAAACTGCATACTCAGTTTTTCGAAATTTGTGTTGGAGCTTGAATTATTGGGGTTTTAATATTTATGCATTTTTTCAAATGAAAAGTTTGTGTTATAAATTTTGTCCGATCGATTTCAAATTTGGGTAATATAATCTACGTAGCTAAAATTACAACTTTGCATTTAACGATTTTTAACACATGCATTTTACAAATGGGCAGGCAGAACAAACAATACAAAATATCAAACAGTTGGGGACAACTAAGTATACATACACACATACATACACAAACATACATACAAGCAGCTGTTCGTGCAAACGGTTGAAGTAGCCAAAGCAAAATGTGAGACGCTGTGTGAATGTTCATTTGTACACATGTATGTACATACATACATACATATGTATAAAAGTACATTCGTCTTGCACTGACAGGGCAAGAAATGTTAATTAATTAAAAATTATTAACATTATAACATAAACATTTTTATGGTATTTTTTCTTTGTTTAGTACATTTGGCATAAGGGGTTTTTAGGACAACGGACTACAAGGGCGTACGCAGGTTGGGCAGGGGGGACATTGCTCCCCTTAGAAAGAATTTCGCATTATGAATTACACCAGCACCATATGTATTACATACGTACATACATATGTACATACGTCTGTATGTATAGTATGTACATATGTACATCAATACAATCACTTTTTCAAATGAATAGTTTGTGTTATAAATTTTGTCCGATCGATTTCAAATTTGGGTAATGTTATCAACATAACTATATCAACAAATTGGCATTCAACGATTAAAATATAGCAATATGTTTTTTACTTGCCATATGTACATATATCAAATATCAAATAGTTGGGGACATCCCATACACACACTCACACATACATACAACAAGCAACAGTCGTGTCTATGTGTGCCCATGCATACATACATATGTACAAGCATATGTATGTATGCCTGTATATGTATGTAGCATGTACATACAAAACAACAACCACAACTTCAAGTTGTTGGCTCGCACATCTTCTTTCGTTTTGACCATTTAATGTTAATTGCAAAGGCAAAACGCCAAAAGTTTACAGTTACCGTCGCTAGGCAACGACTGCGTAAGCGATAGTAAAGCAGAAACCGAATAACGGAGCTACGCATATTCTGTTTCGCATTGCGGGCAGATGTATGTATGTATATGATTTGTTCTTATCGATCTCAATAAATAATTAGATTTTATTATTTAAATATTCTGCTTATTGCATTCAAACTTCGATATTTTGATGGTATCGGTGGCTTCAAATATCGAAAGTTTTACTCTAGCAAATTGAGATGAGAATTGTCAGTGCTTTTTGATCGTGGCTCATCGCTGCACGGCATTGACACGAGTGCCGTGTTTCATATTCCGAGTTTGTGCGTGACCGTATTGACTCAATATGGAACGAAAAGACTCAAATGTGAATTTAAAATTAGGATATACCCTTATAATTATTCCCCATTTTTGCACATAGTCTATCTTAAAACGTTGGTGATCAACGCACAGCCCAAACGGTAGAAGATGAAATTTGGACTCAAGTATCCTTTCATAGTATCCATCATAGTGTAGGAGCACACTAAGAAAGGCTTTTGGAAAATTATAGCTCCAAAGGGGGGAAAACGAGCTTTAAAAAATATTAGTTATAGTGGTCATGTTCGTTTAACGAAATAGTTTGGCAAGAACAAAAATGTAACGGACTACTGAACAATTTTTTGTCAAGAACAGAAAATGTTCATTTAAATACCTTAAATGCCTTCCTACTGGTAACTTACTTATAAGGTGAAAACATATGGGTAGGTTATGCACACACAAAATAAATACAATTGGAATCATTATATTGAGCCGGATTAAGACGGGCAATACCTGCTAGTAAGAACATAAACCATATTTGCAAAGATAATTTATATATACATAAATATATATTTTTTTCAAATTTTATGAAAATCTGTCAATTTGAAACAATTTTACTCCAGTACTACATCTGCAAACTGCAGCATCAAGTGTTCTTCTGCTAGGGACGCATAAGCTCATTGCCGGAAGTTAGTCCGGGTACAGGGTATTTCACTGTCGAGCTTGCTTAGCGTTCTCTCTTGTTATTTATAATGTCATTAAATTGTCCGCAACTGCCAATATTATATTTTAAAAGACATGTGTCCACTTTTAGTGACGTTTGTCCACAAAGCAATTATCAATGAAAATAAAAACAGAGAAGGTACTGGATGATAGATAGGCAATTTTGCATTGGTATCCCTTTTTCTCTTAGATTATTAAGCACCTCAATTCACCGCTGTTTTGTCAAACAGGAGAGCAGGAGGAGATGCAGTAGATAAGAACAATGGTTTTCTATCTCGTACTCTATTTTAAATTATGTATTTTAAATGTCATGTTGGTAATGCCGGACATGCGGGACGTGTTTCAGGTTTTTTGGGACTATTTTATTCGATTTTTCAATGCGGGACAACACCTGTCAATGCGCGACAATATTTCTAAGGATACTCACTTGTGAATTCGAATACACTGGTCGTGGTGGCCTTGGGTAGCAATCATTACATCAGCTTCATCCAATACAAAAACTGTTATTTTTTTCATATCAAATAATCTAAATTTTAAGCCCCAATCCAACATTTTACCAGGAGTTCCAATCAGAATATGGTCCGGTATCTGTGAGTTGCGATCAACTGTGTAATTTAAAATGATTAATATAATTAGTATTTTTATAAGTATACACGTAAATATAAACCCTACGACTGACCGTCGAAGCTTGTATGACATTATTTATAGAACTGCAGAAGTTGGTCTAACTTTCAGTGTCACCGAGAATAGTAGATTGTGTAATTGCAATCCGAGTCCTTGCGATTGACAGCAAATGAAAAATTATTGTAAGCTATTTTTGAAATAATAATAAAAAGTAAAAGTAATTTGGATAGTTGTTTGTTATAGTATAACAGCAGAAAAAGAACACAGTATTTTTGCTATTAGGAAGAGATTTTGGATAGGAGTATTCTACGGTAAATTTGTCCGTTTTACTGAGCCATGTTGAGTGACGACAGAAAATTTTAGTTATTGAGTGCCTAAGTCCCTTAAGAAATACAATATAATAATACAATATAATACTTGTATTATAGGTCTGCTTGAAATAGTTTTAGTTTAAGACACTATTAAAATTGATAATAGCACAGACCCAGTATTGATTTGAAAAACTACTATGGGAAGAAAAATAAGAAGCTTTGTGGCTAATTTTGTGTCTCTATCTCTTATAGTCTCTGAGATCCAGATGTTCATACGGACAGACATACAGACAGGGCTAGATCGACTCGTTTTGTCATGCTGATCAAGAATATATATAGTTTGTGGAATCTGCCACGCATCCTTCTGCCTGTTACATTTTTCAGCTCGCGCAAACCGAATATACTTGTACTCTTGTACATATCATGTACAGAGTATAAAAATCAAGAACAACACGAGAGAACGCTACAGTCGAGAAAGCCCGATAGTAAAATACCCTGTACTCTCCACAAAAAAGGAAATTAAACAAAAGAAATATTAAAAAAAAATCAAATTAATTAATTAAAATTAAATAAAAAATATTCAATACATAAATACATACATGCAAAAGTGAAGATATGCTTATGTAAGGTGCGTTGCAAAACTATAGAACCACTTAAAAAATTACGATTGCTTAAGAACGACTGACTGTAGGGTACAACAATGTTCTGTGAAAATGTGTTAAAGACAAAATAACATTGTAAGAAATAGGGGAAAAACGGTTTTTTGTTGTTGCATTAATATAGAACCACTTACGTTATATGCAATTTTTACTGGTTTTAGTCAGTGATACTCAGTTGTTGATTCAAGTAGAGTTGGACATGGAGAGAATAATAAATATGCCGCGTGGGAAAATATTACAAAATTTTGAAAAATTGCAAATATTGGCATATAAAGAGCAAAATTGGGGCATTTGTGAAATTGCCAGAATACTCGCTCGAAGCCACCATGTAATACCGGAATTTTTGAAACATCCGGAAGGCTATGGGTCTAGAAATTCTGGGGGAAGGAAAAAAAAATTAACCAAGACGAAGAACGTAGAATTTTAAGGGCTGTGAGTAACTCAACCACGTGTTTGGCGGACCTTCAAAAGCATGTTGACGTTCCCGTTCACCGATCGACTATTTCCAGGGTTTTAAAACGGAGCGAAATTATTACATACGCTAAAATGAAAGCCGCCCCGAGACTATTGAAACGTCATAATCAGGCTAGGCTGGAATTTGCAAAGAATATAGGGCCAAAAACTGGGAATCTGTAAGAAAAAACATATCTTTATTATTTGAAGTTTTTAAAAACATTAACGGCTTAAGGTGATTTTTTCTGATGAAAAAAGTGGAACCTTGATGGTCCAAGCGGTTTTCGAGGATACTGGCGCGATTTAAGGAAGGAGCCGTTGGTGTTTTCCAAGCGAAACTTTGGAGGAGGAAGTGTAATGACTTGGGCAGCATTTTCTACTTTAGGTTGCTTGGAATACCAATTCGTATCATCGAAAATGAAGTGCGGGGACTGCATTAATGTCCTAAAAATGAGCCTATTGCCTTTTATTAGGCAAAACCGGAAAAAACATACGACATTTCAACAGGATAATGCCAGAATCCATGTAAGCCGAGAAACCATGTCTTGGTTTTCTGAAAAATCTATAGACGTTATGGATTGGCCGACTTGTTCCCCAGACCTTAATCCGATCGAGAATATTTGGGGAATACTTGTCCGAAGGATCTATAAGGATCAAAGACAATTCGACAATGTTCATGAATTGAAAAGGGCAATAATAAGAGAATGGGAGCAATTGGAACCAAATTTGCTCAAAACGCTTCTTAAAAGTATGAAGAGTCTCATTTTTGAGACAATAATAATAAATTTAAGCCATTTAAATACATTACAAATTATTATTCGTTTCAATATTGAAAATTTAGGCAAGTGGTTCTATAGCCATGAAACAGCAAAAAACCGTTTTTCCCCTATTTCTTAAAATTTTACACTAAAAATTTAAACCAAATACCGTTATTTCTTCAATATTTTGTCTTTAACACAGAACATTGTTGTACCCTACAGTCAGTCGTTTTTAAGCAATCGAAATTTTTTAAGTGGTTCTAAAGTTTTGCAAAGCAAAATTTCAACAGCATACATTTAAATCATCGTGTCTATGCGTGTTTATATATCAGAGAACTACAACGAGTACTACATTTTCGGTCATACTCGAGTATTTACCAATACTCGGAATGATTATTTTATTTGGATATAGTGACAAGCAATGACTGGTTGCGAACGAGCCCTCAACGAACACTCAGTTCGAATCAAAACTGCAAAAACTCAGAAGTGAGCGGTTGTGACCGAAACTTCTTGCATGAATGCAAGCAATGACCGGTTGTGAACGAACGCTAACCAACCAATCAGTTCAACTCACAACTGCAAATACTCAGAATGAGCGTCAATGAGCGAAACTTTTTGCCTGCGTGCAAGAAATGATCGAACGTCGTATTTACAATCATGCTCGCATGACCGAAATAACCACTGATATCGGCGGCTGCACGTTTTTTCGGCTATTAGTTCAATAGTAACTTCGTATACAAGTATGTAAATGCATATAAATTAAAGAAGCCAACAAAACTATTAGCGAAAAGATATTTTTTTTTTACTGTTTAATCAAAGCATTGATGCTGTGCATTCAGATTAGCACCTTAACAATAGCGAAAAGATATACCTTCCTTTTTATTTAAACTAAAAAAAGTTATGCTACTTTAAATAATATTAATTTGTTTTTATTTTAAATTTCAGTTCCTTTTTTAAGAAATAAAATCATGCTAAATATCATAATATAAAAATAAATATATGTATACATACTATATGTTTAGTTTTCATTCTGCACCTCTTTATTTAAAATACGTACATACATACAAGGTGCGTTCCAAAGTAAACAGGACTTTTTGAATCTAGCGCCCCCTGGTAGCGCTATCTATACGTCAACTGGTGCGTTAGAATCTGCTATCTTTATCGATTGTCCAGTGAAAATTTCATGACATTTCATCGATTGGAAGTGAAGTTATTGCGTTTTAAGTGTCAGTATGTTTGTGTTATTTGTGTATTTTGTTTTAAAATTGGTAAAACTTTTACCGAAACGTTTCAATTGATGGAACAAGTTTATGGCGATGATTGCCTATCCCGTAGCAGAGTGCACGAGTGGTTTCAACGTTTTCAAAGTGGTCGTGAGGATTGTGGGCCAATCAAAATTCGTGATCACCGAAAATTCCGTCGAAACTGTGCGTGAATTCATCAAAAATCAGCCGAAATCATTGAAATTGATAGAAATGGAATTGAACATCTCCAAAACATCGATTTATCGCATTTTGACCGAACATTTGGGCTTACGAAAGGTGTGTGCACGGTTTGTTCCGCACAAATTGACTGACGACCAAAAATTGCTCAGAATCGATCGACGCTTGTGACCGATTATTTGACCAAAAATCACATTTTAACCATTAACCACTCGCCGTATTCACCTGATATGGCACCGTGCGATTTCTACCTTTTCGGAAAAATGCATTTGCCCATGAAAGGAAAGCGTTATGCAGACGTAGAGGCCATTCAAAAGGCTTGCACCGGCATACTGGCGGCCATACTGGCCAACGAGTTAAAACACTCGTTCGAGATGCTTTTGATCGTGCAAAAAGCTGTATTGAAGCAATAGGAGACTATTTTGAATAAAATAAATTGATTTTGCCGAAAAAAACATTTGGTTTTTTTATACCCTGTACCCGTAGGGTAAAAAGGGTATATTAGGTTTGTGCAAAGTATGTAACATACAGAAGGAAGCATCTCCGACCCCATAAAGTATATATATTCTTGATCAGCATGACGAGAGAAATCGATCTAGACATGTCCGTCCGTCTGTCCGTCCGTCTGTCCGTCCGTCTGTCCGTCTGTCCGTCCGTCTGGATGAATGCAAGGATCTCAGAAACTATAAAAGCTGGAATAACCAAAGTTGGCATCCAGATTCTCCTAGGTCCGAGTAAGGACGAGTTTATTTTATTTTTTTTAATTTTCCCCCCCTTCCCCCGCTACAGAATTTCGTCAATAGCGTCCACATTTCAAATGCTACCTAAACCAAACTTTGCACACATAATTTATATATAATTGTCTATTGTTGTTCAAAATTTTATTCAATTCGGTCAATTTTAAGAAAAGTTATTAGCAAAACAAATTCTCGCCAGTACAACCCCCCAAACTGCAGCAACAAGTTCGCTCCTCTTCTTCCTCTTTTTGCTGCTGCTATGGGCGCATATAACTCAGTGACGCAAGTTTACCTGGGTACATGGTATTACACTGTCGGGCTTGCTCGACTGTAGCGTTCTCTCTTGTTTTTTTTTAAAACGTCCTGTTTACTTTGGAACATACCTTGTATACATATGTTTGCGCATAATTGCAAACAACACATGCACGCACAAATACATAAATATGTACATACATGCATTTTTTATACGGTCATACTCGGGTAAAACCCGCGCAATACTCGAGACATACTCGGGTAAAACCAGCGCAATACTCCAGTAATACCCAAGTATAGCTCGCGCAATACCCAAACAATACTCGAGCAATAACGGCACTATACTCGTTCGATCAAACGCTTTTTCTGCAAAGTCTGGTTTGTTTCGATCAGGACCCAGTCATCTTAAACGAAGTGACCGAGTCTGAACTGTTTAAAAGCAAACCAATCAAGGCCGGTACTCGTGCGAGCCGACCGCTATAAGCAAAGTGACCGAGACTGGTGTGCTCGGAAGCAAACCAATCAAGTCCGGTGCTTGTTCGTAAAAATAGAAAGATTGCTCATGCAAATTCGATCATAAGAAAAATGCTGAGAGTACTCAACTCGTTCGAGCTCGTTTGCAGCCAAACAATGATCTGATTTGATTGAACTTTCAGCAAGGGTGGTCGAACATACTCGTTGCAGTTCTCTGGTATGTATGCTGTACAGGAATAAGTCGAGGCAGTAACAACAAAAACAGCTGCAGACAGAGCTTTGGCGGAGAGTATATTTATGGCTATAACATTCTCCACAATAAACCTATGGTAATGAAACTTGGCATACAGAATCATAATATTCTACTCCTATACTTTCTAAGATCCTTGCGTTCATACGGACGGACATGGCTATATCCACTCGTCCTGTCCTAGTGATCAATAATACATATACTTTATTGGGTGCGTGGCAGACCCTCCTTCTGTGTCTTATATACATTTGCAAAAAACTAGTATACCCTTTTACCGTTTGGGTACAGGGTATAAAAAGAAAACAAATTTTCGATAGTTGGTGTTATTGTGTCCAAATATTCTTTAATTTATTTAATAGGTACGAACATTACGGTCCCATCCGTTCCAATAACCATGACTCATAGATTTGATCCTCTGTATAAATGAAAAACGTAAAAGGTTCCAATACATGCCACTTAGACTTAAGCAGCTCAAAGATATTCATGTGGCGGATTTTCTAATAACTTATTTATTTGCGCTTGTTTTATTTTTTCAAGTACCTTCCTCTCCTCGAACAGCAAATCTTAATTTGATGTCAGGACAAAACTGGCCCATGCGGGCTGCAACCTCTCCGGTTTGGATTGCCAGTTCATAAGTTGGCGAGAGACACAAAACCTAAAAAAAAAAATAATAATAATTATATATTGTATATAGAAGCAATCAATAAAGTAAACCAATAATTACTCTTGATGAACCCAGTTGGCATTTCGAGTTTACCTTAACGTTAAGTATTGCCGTCTGTCAAATAACGCCATACTAAATATCAGACTTATTTACAGGCTAAGCCTAGTACTCAGCTTGAAATTACAATGCCTTAAATGAATAAATTTAAATTCAATCTAATAAACTACAGTTGGAGCCAGTATTTTTAATCACATAACGCTTCAGTATTTTTAAATGTTGATCCTGCAACTGATTCAGCGTGTTGAAAGAATTTCTCGTATTGCTTCTTCTTTTAACAAAACGGGATTGCATGATATCGCACTTTTTAACGGACAACGTGTTAAATAATTTGTTTTCACTGTTTTTTCTTTTTTTTTTTGGGGGAAATTTTAGTCGAAATCCGTAGGCATTATAATTATAATCGAAATGATTAGGATTAGGTTTTTCTACTTTTTGACTTCCCTTTTTGTATTTTTTTACCATCAATAAAAAGTCGGTCAATCATTAGTCCATCAGTTCCAATTATTGAGCATTCTAACATGGTTTTTAGCATCGTCGGCTTCGTCGATAGACCCCAGTCTCCACCAAATAAACAACGTCAGTTCCTCCAGATATTGTTGCATCGTTTTAATACCACAATTCAGGCTGGATGTCTACAGATCCTCTAGAGGATTCATTTTATGAATTTGCACAATCTTGCTTTCCGTGGGTTTCGAAGTTTGACGCGATCTTTCTTTAAGTGGAACATTTGCTATGGTGCGAGTTTTTCGGTAATGGTTGAAAGCATTAAAAACAATTTTCCAACATAGCTGAGTTTCAATAGCCTAATATGTCATACCATTCTTTTGAATTTAATTGAAATGTATTCTAACACAAAAAACAACAAAAACTTACTTAAGTTTTGGAAAAATACTGCATAAAATTTTAAATTACAGCGAAAATCTAAATTGTTTTCAATTAGGTGGTACGCAAAATTCGAACAACTCGGCTAAAAAATTAATTTTATAAAGTGTCGAAATCGCAACAAAGTCGAATACAGTCATGGCTGTATCGGAGGACCCACCATAAAGATGTCGTTTAGGGACATTTGTGACGACGTCTTACATGACGCGTCGAAGACGACTCGTAATTTTGCTGAAGTGTTTTGCGGTCGTGGCACGCATTGATAAGATATAAAATAATGCGGCTCTCTTGGGACAATGTTGACAACTGGGCTCATGTGACCCATTGAAATGTGTTTCAGGAAAGGAATGTACATTGATTCAGTGCCGGGCTGCTTAGCCATTCGCCTTTCTAAGGCCAGAAAACGTTGCAACGCTGTCTCATACGAACCACCGAGACAACGTGGGCTCGACTTGAATGGCAATCCAACACTGAGCCTACCCGAGGCAAGACTGGTGATCAAAGCAATCAAAGCAAATGCTTTGGGGTGTACAAGTTATGACTTGATAATTTTGGATTCTCTTCCAACTCCCAGAATTTGCGAATAAGTGAATAGAAAGGACTGACATCTTGGTTTGGTGAATGAGCACGGATTTGGCTTACAAGTGCTGTAGACGATAGATCAGATGAATTCACAGAGTGACACCACCCTGCTACAATCCATCCAAGAGCTTTAGCTTGCATCACCGGTGACTCATTTGTTCCCTTTACCTGTCCTTCTCTTAGTAGATCCAAAAGGGCATCTGCCCCAAGCAGCAGATCTATGCATAGCGGCCTATGGAACTGAGGATCAGCTAGATCACAACTATCAGGCACGTCAACGTCGACGACCAATTTTTCGGGTTGGTACGACAAGATTATACTAAGAACTGCTAATTCTGCTGTTAGCTCGGAATCGCCGGGTCAGTTGTTGCACCGTTACTGGTGACTATTAAACACAGAAAGTTTTAAAAAGCAGGACTTTTGCGCTGACACCCTCATATTCGCATTCGCTCTTCAGAACACAATCCACGTGCTTAATGTGAGAGTTTTCATCCTCTCAGAAGATGATGACGTCGTCAACGTAGACATATCAGAATTTGCCGATTTGCTCTCACAAAATTGTTCTCTGAAAAATACTAGCCGCATTCTTTGGGCCGAAGGGCAGCCGCCGAAATTCATACTTCCCCCCGTACTGCGAGCATGATCTGATGGTAGCCAGACTTGAGGTCTAGCGTTGAAAAAAACCTTGCCTTGTCCAGGTTCCCCAATATCATGGAGGTATTTAGCATGGGGTACTTATCGGGCACTGTTCTCTCGTTTAGCTTCCGAAAATCTATCACCAATCGCATGGTTCGATTCCCTGCCTCGTCAGTGCCTTTCTTATCTACTACCCATAATGGGTTATTATAAGGGGAGATTGAATTTTGTATTATACCATTTTTAAGCAGGTCCTGAATTTCGTTGTTGAGGGCAACCCCCATAGGATATGGATATAATTTGGCATAAATAGGTTCTTCATTAACCGTTCTGATGATAGCCACCACCGAAGTGTTGTATGGTAATGCTTCATTCGGATCAGCGAAAGCCATTTTCCTACTTTTGAGCATTTCCAAAAATTACCAAAGGAGGCGCATCTGAGCAATCGATGTTGGTAAAATTTACACGACGTCAAAATAAAACAAACAAAATAACCAAGACAAAGTCAGGAGACCGCAGGGCTCGTATTTCTCCGCAATGTTGAACGGGGCAACAAAAACAGCAAAAATAAATCAAATGCAAAGCAAAAGAATGCATGCGCTACTGCATAAAAATCAATGTAACACAAAAAATAACACAATATAGCAATAATGAAAATAATAGCACTATAAACATCGCGAGATGTATAGCAAGGATAATGGTAAACAACCTAAATGCCTCTTCTCATCAGGTACCAAATAAAAGACAAACTTAACTGAGATACCTCATCAATCCAATGCTGCATTTCACATCCCGTTACCTGAAGTCTCACTCACTAACATGTGAATTGTTATTTTGGAACTCAGAAGGCAACCTCGCAGTGCACTTTTCATTCATAAGAAATTGTTGGAAACGCAAACATGAATATATTTCATACAAATCTTTCTATTTATACTCTGTACATAAAATGTACAAGAGTATATTAGGTTTGCGGGAGCTGAAAATGTAACAGGCAGAAGGAGGTGTGGCGGACCCCACAAAGTATATATATTCTTGATCAGCATGACGAGACGAGTCGATCTAGCCCTGTCTGTCTGTATGTCCGTCTGTCCGTATGAACACCTGGATCTCAGAGACTATAAGAGGTAGAGACACCAAAGATGCGTTATGTGTATGGTCGAGCAAGCCCGACAGTGAAATACCCTGTACCTAGGTAAACTTCCGACACTGAGGAATATGCGCCTCTAGCAGAAGCAAAAGGAAGAACAAGAGGGAACTTGATGCTGCAGCTTGAGGGCGTAGTACCGGAGTGAAATTGTTTCGCTAATAAATTTTCTTAGAATTAACCGATTTAGATGAAATTTGAAACAAAAGTAGATAATTATATAAAAATGTGTGCAAAGTTTGCTTGAGGTAGCTTTTGAAATGTGGACGATATTGACATTGAAATTCTGTATTGGGAAGGGGGGCAAGATTCCAAAAAATAAAATAAACTCGTCCTTTCTCGGCCACAGGAGAATCTTGATGCCAACTTTATTTCCAGCTTTAATAGTTTCTGAGATCATTGCGTTCATCCAGACAGATGGACGGACGGGCGACGGACATGCCTAGATCGATTCGTCTAGTCTCGCTGATAAGGAATATATATACTTTATGGGGTCGGAGATGCTTCCCTCTCTCGGTATTCGAACTCACGTAAAGGGTTTATAATTGCACATTTACATAGCAATTGCGTCTATGTGAGTGTATGAATGTCTATGCGCGTCTATTCGTGTCTGTGTAAGCATGTTTGCAGTCAACCAAAGCTCCAACATCAACAACAGCTGTGGGCAGCGCTTGGGCAGCAATTATATTTATGGCTATAACTTCTTGTTAAATCGGTCTATCATAGTGAAACTTGGCATACGGACACATAATCACTTACATAATCCAAGTGTTACGAGAGTTCGAGACTACCGCGATTTGCGGGGGAGAGGGGAGAGGGAGGTAAATTCCAAGATACACATTTTCTGCGTATTCACATAAGGCATCTTGGACCTAAAATTTTGTGTTCCTAGGCCTTATAGACTCCGAGATATAGGCGATTATACGAATGGAAAATCGGGAAAACCCCCATATGGGGGAAGTCGATATCTATAGATCCCCTAGAGGATTCATTGTACGAATTTACACAATCTTGCTTTCCGTGAATTTCGAAGTTCAACGCAATCCTTCTTTAAGTGGAACAATTGCTATGGTGCGAGTTTATTGCGAAAAATAGAAATCGAAAATCTAAATTGTTTTCAATTAGGTGGCACGCAAAATTCGAACAACTCGGCTTAAAATTTAATTTTATAAAGTGTACCGTTAAGTAAGGGTTGGTAAATGTCACAAATGCAAGAGTTTACTATTAGTTTCCATTTAGTTGTCAAGAACTGTATGTACAGAGTACACACACCCGACTTTGGCTTCTTCATTTGTTAACTTTAGGTTTTCGGGAGGTTAAAATGTAACAGACAGAAGGAGACATGGCAGACCCTACAAAGTACATATATTCTTGATCAGCATGACAAGACGAGTCGATCTTTGTCTGTGTGTCTGTCTGTGCGTCTGAACACCTTCTCCGAATGTTGCAGGTCTGGAGAATAAGGAGGGTGCTTAAGCAGTTCAAAGCGAAATTCACATCTGCCACGGCAACTGCTAATGTATAGACACCCAACGTGCCGAGAGCTTCCTCTCAGTTGTTGCAGTTTTTGGCATCCCAGATATCTCTCATCTCAGTCGGCTGTTATTGTGTGAAGCCGTAAAGCACATTCCTATATTATATAATCATAACACAAATCCATCATTGAATTAAAAAAATATAATAAACA